CGGCAGCGAGATCGGCGGCTCCCACTGTGGTCGCCAGATTGTTCGCGGAAAAAATCGTATCTTTCTTCATTGATGATTCCATTTCTATCTTGAATAACTGTTTTTGAGTTACAAAGATCCGGTCTTTTTGTAAGATCCGGTTACAATAAAATCAAAGAAAAATAAAAAAAGATTACAACTTTCTCCTTTTGTGTCGAACAAATCACGAGCTCCTATTTTGTGGTCGCTCGCTTGCGTGGGTTGTTTGCCTGTGCCGGGGTTTATCCGTGGACCACCACGAGATCTAGATATGGTCGGATCTATGCAGTACGACGAGTATTATTTCACGAAGGAAATAATAGCCGGGGAGGATTATTTCACCAAGGAAATAATCGCCCAAATCTCGGGATCAAAGACCAAGCTTTGATCCGGAGTATGCCTGCGTAGATCTGAGATCCGATTTGAGATCCGGTTCCTCTCAGACTCTTGCCTTATCTGGCGTTGACGATCATCGAGCACCGGATCTGGATGAGCAAGACTTCAAAGTCCCAAAGCTTGAATCTTTTTTAGATCTGAGCTTCGAATCCAGCAGGGCTTCGCCTCCAAATTTTCCAACCCTCTAAAATGAACACTCAAGGTCCTATTTATAGGCTCTCAGATCTGTGCCCGGGCACAGATTTGCAGTAAACCTGCTTCGTTGTTGATCCGGATTCTGATTTGACAGTCCGAATCCCAATATGGCAGTAAATCTGCCTTGGTGTTTGAGTTTAAATCCGTTCTATGGTTGGATGACTCGTTGACTCACCGAACTGTTTGCTTGATTCCGCATGCGAATGGATGTTTGCGTGCGGTTCGTTAGCCTCGTCGCCTCGTTAATCCGCTTCGTTGCGTGTCACTTGGCTTTGGCGTTGTGGATTGGCACTCGTGTTTGGATACGTCGCCCGATGGTTCGTCGGTTTGTGCCGAGCTGTGCTAAGGGACCTATAAGCAATTTTATATGCCTACACCTACTTAAGCACCTTCCCCGACAACGGCGCCAAAAACTTGATGCGGCATAAACATGTGATTGTCCCAACCTTCAGTCGGTGTAACGGGACTTTAGAATAGCTTCTGTTCTTGATTCCTTCAATCCTTCAGGCTATTCGGTGCTTTGTCGAATGTCTGTAAGGGTTCCGGTGCTGCATTTATTGTCTGACCGTTGTCGAAAATTTGAACTTGAAGTCGATTCCTGATTTTTTTGATCTTTTAGCTCGTGTTTGCTGGTTCAACATAGAACTGACCATCGATTGTTGGCTCTGAGTCTTTATTTGCGGCGCGTTGTCCGGCGTATTGTTGTTGAGTTATCCTTATTGGAGTATTGATTCTTTCATTGCAACGCGTTGATCGGCGTTGACCTAGGGTTACGCGTTGACCGGTGTCAACCCTAGGGTTTTGAACGTCGTACGTTGACTTTCTGATTGCAACGCGTTGACTGGCGTTGACCTAGGGTTACGCGTTGACCGGTGTTGACCCTAGGGTTTCGAATGTCATTGGATGCTCAAGTCACGAGACCAACTAATGAAGCTGATGCGTCAGTGACTCTCGTATTTATAGGATTTTTGGCAAACCCTCAGCCATCAACGGGTTTGATAAGCCTTTACCGACTACCGTTTGCCGCATGTAACGTTGTGCTAAGAGAATGAATTCTCTGAGATTTTGTGCTATGATGTCGAATACATAGACTTCGCCATTATTACGGGAATAGGCTACCCGGCGACACGTGTTAGGTGTTGACTTTAGGATTTTTGGCTAACCCCCAGCCTTCAACGGGTTTGATAAGCCTTTACCGACTACTGTTTAAATCGGGCTAGCATACGGATTGTCTAAATCCATTCCGCTGTTTTCGGTGAAAGTCGGTGTTTTCATTGCTTTTGAATCTGTTACAACTTCAAACGTTACAACAAGAATGCAACTAAAACAAAGATTACAACTTTATCGAAAATAAACACGAGATCCCGTCTTGGTGCGGTCTCGCTTGCGTGGGTCTTTGGCCTGTGACGGGGATGTTGATATCCGTGGACCACCGGGGCAATCAGATCCGGTCCGGATAAATCGGACAGAGTTTCGTCGATCCGCGTGAGATCTAGAAACTTCTAATCCAGAAATATCGGACAGAACTTCGTCGATCCGCGTGAGATCTAGAAGTTCTAAGCGTATACCTCGGCTAAAGCGAGGTATTAGCTCTTCTTAGTATTAACGCTAAAGGCTAATACCAAGGAAAGATGAGAACGGGTGATGAAGGCTGATTTAGACCTCTCCTCCTCGGTTGAAGTGCTCGATCAGTGTTTGCTGCAGCAGGGCTTCGCCGAGGCTCTCCAAAAATCCAGATCATTCCAAATGAGGTAAGGGGGTCCTATTTATAGGAAAACAAGAGGGGGGGCGTCCGCACAGATCTAGGACACCCCAGGGGTGTCCGCACAGATCTGGGACACCCTTGGGGTGTCTCCAAAAATCCGAGACACCCCTAGGGTGTCTCGGAAATTCCGAGACACCCTTGGGGTGTCTCGGAAATTCCGAGACACCCCTAGGGGTGTCTCGGAAAATCCGAGACACCCCTAGGGTGTCTCGGAAATTCCGAGACACCCCTGGGGTGTCTCGGAATTTCTGAGACACCCCTGGGGGTGTTTCGGGATTCCGAGACGTCCGTAGGTGCGTTTTAACCGTTTTCCCCGTAGATTCTTCGTACGAACTCGGATTTGAGTGATTCCGGGTGCGTTGGATGCGTGACGAAGAGTTCGATCCGCTCTGATGGTTGGATTGTCTTTAGAGTGGTCGAGGCACGGAGGGTGTTGTCCTTTTTGTGAACAGTGCCGGGCTTCCCGATTGGTCCGGGTCTTCGTGATTCCGAAGTCCTATCTGCTCACGTAACTCGTCGATTCACTTCAATCGTTCATCGACGTCAATTAGGCTCATGTGGGTCGGATGGTGATGTTCATTGTCGTTCGTTAACACTGAACCGGTTGTGGAGAACTATAGGCAATTTTCAATGCCTACAGATACCCCCTCCAAAGTGTTCCTGACTCGTTTCTTTTATAGAAGAGGCTGGAATACTTTGGATGTGATTGATCTGGCCTTCAGTCGGCGTAGTTAGCTTCAACTCTTGACTCTTTCAATTTTCGATCTATTCGATGCTTTGACGAATAGCCGAGGTTCTTCCGGCGCTGCGTTTATCGTCTGGCCGTCGTCGGAGTCTCGAGTCTGCAGCTGATGAATTGAGTTTGGCTCGTGTCATTGAGTTGACTTTGAACTACCTCCGCCACATTATGCTGGCTTAGGGTTTTGGATCACCGTGTGTTGACTTTTTGTCGCAACGCATTGACCGGCGTTGACCTAGGGTTATGCGTTGACCGGCATTGACCCTTAGGGTTTTGAATTGTCAAACGTTGACTTCTGTCGCAACGCTTTGACCGGCGTCCACCCTAGGGTTTTGGATTCGTCAAAGGTTGACTTTTGGTGCAACCCGTTGACTGGGGTTGACCTAGGGTTACGCGTTGACCGGCGTTGACCCTAGGGTTTTGAATCGTCACACGTTGATTGGTGTGGATTTTCATCCTCAAACGTTGACTTTTGTCGCAACGCGTTGACTGGCGTTGACCTAGGGTTACGCGTTGACCAGCGTTGACCCTAGGGTTTTGAATCGTCACACGTTGATCGGTGTGGATTTTCATCCTCAAAACTTTTGGTGCAACCCGTTGACTGGGGTTGACCTAGGGTTACGCGTTGACCGGCGTCCACCCTAGGGTTTTGGATCGTCAAACGTTGATTGGTGTGGATTTTCATCCTCAAACGTTGACTTTTGTCGCAACGCGTTGACTAGCGTTGACCTAGGGTTACGCGTTGACCGGCGCTGACCCTAGGGTTTACGGATCGCCATTAACACAGTTTATACTCGTACGTTTGCTGGAGTACTCACAGTTTAAGCTCTTAAGGTATTGGAGCAGTTGACTTTTGTCGCAACGCGTTGACTGGCGTTGACCTAGGGTTACGCGTTGACCGGCGTCCATCCTAGGGTTTTGATTTGTCAATGGTTGACTTTTGGAGTCCCTCAATATTCAACCATTGGTGAAGAATTAGAGTGTTTTGGGGTTTAAAAAAAAACAATTTAGGGGTTGAAAACAGGTTCAGGGGGTCAAAACAGGTTCAAGACACCCCGGGGGTGTCCCGACAAAACCGGGACACCCTGGGGTGTCTCGGCTTTGCCGAGACACCCCATGGGGGTGTCTTGGTTTTTTCATGGTCCCCCCCCCTTTTGTCTTTTTCTTCATTTTGTTTCCCCCCTCTTTGTTTTCTTTCTTGTTTGAATTTGTTTCCCCTTTTGTTTTCCCCCCCTCTTTTCAAAAGAGAATTCATCTTCTTCCTCCAAACCTCCTCCATTGTTTTTCTTTCAAGAGCTCCATACCCCAAAGAAATTCGGTTTTTTGTATGCTCCTTCTTGGCCGAAAATTTTCACTTTTCACTAGGGTTTCTCCCTCCACCTTCAAGCTCGGATCTTGACTCTTGGATTGGGGATTTCAAGCCTCTTGATTTGGGTAAGCTCCTCTTCACCATCCTCTTATTTTGTGGTAAAGGTTGCATTTTTATTCTTGTGGTAGACTAGGGGGCATGTATGCACTATTATTTCGGGGGGTTTTGTGTAAAAAGAGGTAATGGCCGAAACTTTGGGGGGTTTATTTGCAAAATTCGTGGGGGTTTATTTGCAAAATGGGACTGAAATCTTGAGGCTTGGATTTTATTCCCCTTTGGTAACAATTTGGATAGGTGTTTCATGCAAAAAGACCATACCTTATTGAGGGTTTTATGTGCAAATGTGGGGCCGAAAAGTTTTGGGGGCTTATTTGCAAAAGTGGCCGAAGAATTGGGGTGGTGTTCATGTAATAGAGGACTGAAGTTTAGGACCTAAATTACATGTTCATTTGGCCACAAGCTTGAGGGGTATTTTAGGCAAGAGGACCAAAAGTTGTTGGAGGGGTTTATTTGCAAAACAGCCCATAAATGTCTTAGAGGGACTTATTTGCAAAAGGCAGTGAACTTATGGCTGAAATCCAATGAGTTTTGACCACGAACTCATGATCAAAATTTTGATAAGGCATGTGGAGCCCAAACCAAGATTTTGTAGAGGGGCTTTTATGCAAAATTGGCTGAATTCTGCAAAAGGGCTCATTTGCAAATTTTAACCAAAATTGTGGGGTACCGGGGTGTTATATGATCGAATGTGACGATCATGACCCGGGTCACGCGTGTCCTTGACCTAGATTTTGGCCTTGAACACTAAGGGTATTTTGGGTATTTCACCAAAATTCACCGTGACAGATGACAATCATCGTGTACGAAATTAGTAGGTTTAATTAGACTTCAATTATGAAATCCTATTTGTGTATAGGATTTTAATTAAAGTTCTTAATTTCCCTTTTAAATTTCGTATATTCATGTTTTAGATTGTACCTGACTTGCTGCTTTTCGTTGCAGATTTGCAATGTCTCCGCGTCGATCTCGTCCCCGGAGGAGCCGTTCTCGTTCACAGCATAGTGAGGAGGAGGTCCCCACGACATCCTCTCCCGCGGCTTCATTTTTCGGGGGTGAGAATTTATGCAGAGATTTTGTCTTACATCCCTGATTGACCTCTTTGCGGGTCATGAAGGAAGAACCGATACCTCTCTCGCGGAGGGTAAGGTTTCAGACTTGTTTTGCTTAGCCAATTCAAGTCTTCGGATATATTGGGGCGATTTTGTGTTGTCCTACACCTTATAGGTCGGTGTACGTTACCACGTTATTCACGTGATGACGCATGCCGTCCTTCTGGTGTAGGTCACTCAAAATCGTCTCTCCAATTATTCCGTGGATGAGTCTATCATTCTTCTTACGAGATGGATTTTCTGATTCCGCCCTTGTGCTTTATTGCAGTGGAATTTCCCGCGGGTAGCCTTCCTCCTCACGCCAACACCGGATGTAGTCGGGAGGTTTTCTCTTCCGCTACTCTTAGGCAGGCTGTTGGCCCACTTCCTCGGTTCGACGGGGATCGTCCAAATGACTCTTGCCGTTCGATACAGGAAGGAGGGCGCCATTGCTTGCGCCAACTTATCACAGATGCCTCCTTCACCCCTGATTCTACTTCCACTCAGGTTCTAAAGAAGCCGGGTTTTCTATTTGGAGATCATGTCAGGGATCCTGCCACGCTGACTCTTTGTGAGGAGCATTGGTTAACTCTTGACGGTGGAGCCTGTTTGTACATCCCTTCGATTCCACGCCACTATTCTTTCAGTCATTTGAAGGGGCAAGCCGTGGACCGGCAGATGTCTTGGCATCTTACTGAAGATGCTGATCGGGTTCAATGCGGATATGCTACTAACCATAAGACTCCTGGCTCTGAGGGGTATCATGACGTGCGTGGTCTACGACCCGGGATCATGGGTCTTGATACTGCACCCCCAGGCGAGGTGTCAGCTGCTGCTCCGACTGTGAGCAACCGTCTGGCTCTTCTTGGGAGACAGTTACCCCCATCGGAGTACAGATGTTATGGCTGGGCTTCCTCCCTAGCCAAAGGGTGGTGGGCGCGCATGACTGGTTTCGTCTTGGCGCGCTGGGAGAGGGATCTGAAGAGCAGTGGGTTGTATGCACCCATACGAGCTACTATGTACGGCATCCCAGTCAGCTGTCGCCATTTCTTGGCTTTGCTGGAGACTTATGTGCCCGATAGCAACACCTTCCTGACCAGCGGAGGTGAGCTAGGGTTGGCCTTGCACGAGATGCATTATGTTTCGGGTCTTCCGATGGGGGACTGTCCGTATCAGGAGTACTTCCCTACGAACCAGCAGCTGGAGTGTATGAAGAAAGATACTCCGGACATGTATGACACACTCTGGGATCTTACTTGCCACTACTACACTTCCTTGATCCAAACTTCTCCCCAAGCGAGAAGGAAGAGGCAGATCAGCTTGAAGCAGTTTGCCAGCTACTTGTTTCAGAACTTGGATGGTGATTCTAGTGCGCCCATTCATGAATTAGACGTGATGACTCCTTCGGCCGTTAATGAGTTGTTGGAAAAGGCTGAGGTTCGTTCCTACACTATCGGCAGTGCTGAGGGGGCTTTTCCCGCGGGGACAAAGTTTCGCTCTTTTCTCCGCCGCGCACAGAGGTCTATAGGGTCCCGGGCGCTATTAGCAGGCTACCTTGCCCTTTGGTTGAAGAAGTGTGTCGTCCCGCACCAACCTTCTGACGCTCTACCCATCGAGGTGCTCTTCCCTGCAGTTCAGCTGGCTTATGGGAGAGAGCTTTCCCTGCTCCCAGCAATGGTTGCTAGTATCCATTGCGGGCTCAGGGGTCTGGTTAGCAGTTTTACACATATGGGTTCTGAACCATCAGCTGAGCTGGTTTGCCCAAAGGTTGAGCTCCCTTACGCATATTTGATGGCGTGGCTCGTTCTTCACCGTCCCGACTTGATGTCGGCCCCCAGCGTTGTTGACATCCCTGTCCCCTTCATGCAATTGTTGGAGCAGAGCAGATGGTTTGGGAGCAAATTTAGTGATGTTCAGCGAGAGCTCCGGGTCCGCAAGAGTTGGGAGTTCTTTAAGTGTTTCCCTCACTTTTCAGGTCGCTATGGCGACGTGCTGGTTGATGAGGAGAAACCTAGAAGTGACCGGACCGTTCTTGACGCTGGTTGCTTCCGGTGGTTAGTGAACATCCGTGTAGGCTATCTCGTCCTTCGGGTGAAGAACCAGTGCCACATAGAGCCTTATCTCCCTTGCCGCTTTGCTCGACAATTCGGCTATGACCAACTGTATGTCGGGAATCCGAGCCGCAGCCTGCGGGTTGAGGGAGGATTGATTGATGGCGTTCGAGCGTGGCTATGGACGATGGTGGGCTGTACTGGAGCCCGTTTTGCTCTTCCTTCGTACCGGCGTAAGCCATTGATCACTTTCCTCAGCTGCAAGTGGTTCCTTTCTGCATATGAGTCCATCAGCGTGAGGAGCCTCTCAGAGTTGCAGTCCGAGTACGCGGTCCGGGCTGCTATGATGGCTGGTCGCAGAGCTGAGCTTGCTCAGAAGCGGAGAAAAGGGCATGCCAAATCTCTTGTCTCAGACGAAGAAGAACTTCTCCCTACGGGTGATGATGACGAGACCTCCGAGGACGAGTATGCGGACGCAGATACCGGCAGAGGGGATCTCGATACTGGTTTGTCCTATCTCTTTTAATTTTCATTTTCCATAAATGACAGCTCTTTTTCATTGAAATGGCTATTGTCACTTTAGGTAGGGCAGTCAATGATCATGAGCCACCAGCTCCTACACACGTTGAAACGTGTGATAGGCCTGCGCATGTTCGACCCTTTGGTCCTCGGAGGGTTGGTGCCCCGAAGAGGAAGAAGACCGCCCATAAGCCCCATGACGATCAGCGTCCCTGTGGAGTGGACTTAGGGAGCACTGCCGATGGAGGGGGAGGTAACATTCAATTGCTCTTGCTTCAAGGTTGTTTACCTTTTGGGGATTTGTGACCATGTTTTGTGCTTCAGGTTTCTTCGAGGAGGGCGAACTCCCACCGGGTTCGGCGTCCCCTGGCGTTGACAACATGGATTGCTTTGTGCAACAAATGTGCGACGCTTTTCACGATGGGTCTTTGGGCATCGACCTTAACATCGATCTTGAGCAGATAAATAATGTTGAGCCCACAATCCCTTATTCAGGTATATCCGCATCCAATGTCATTTTCCTTATGTAAGGTGAAGGAAGATTTCTCGTTTGAGCTTTCCTCATCCTTCAACATTTGGGTTACCCTGCAGATGTTGCGATGGAGGGGCCAAGCTTCTCGAAGCCGGATGCCGGCTTATTAGCTGACATGCTGGCTGAGCAGACTTCCAGAGGGACCGAGAGACCATTCTTCGGGAACGATTCATCTACCGGTATATATCTGATTTTCTCCCTCTTGCCCGATATTTCATATGACTAATGAATGATTGATTATCGCAGCGTCTACCATTGGAGTTAGCCCGGTATCTATCCCTGGCATATCCAGTTTGCCTCAGAGCGACGGGCTTGCAGGTATGTATACGATTCAGGGATATTGTACTTTCCTATGTTTATCTGTCTTTTGACTAATGAGTGCAATCATAGGACCAGCCGCTAGGACTGATTCTCATATGACTCCTGGATCGTCAAACGTTGATTGGTGTGGATTTTCATCCTCAAACGTTGACTTTTGTCGCAACGCGTTGACTGGCGTTGACCTAGGGTTACGCGTTGACCGGCGTCCACCCTAGGGTTTTGGATTGTCAAACGTTGATTGGTGTGGATTTTCATCCTCAAACGTTGACTTTTGTTGCAACCCGTTGACTGGGGTTGACCTAGGGTTATGCGTTGACCGGCGTTGACCCTAGGGTTTTGAATCGTCACACGTTGATTGGTGTGGATTTTCATCCTCAAACGTTGACTTTTGTCGCAACGCGTTGACTGGCGTTGACCTAGGGTTACGCGTTGACCGGCGTCCATCCTAGGGTTTTGATTTGTCAATGGTTGACTTTTGTTGCAACGCGTTGACTGGCGCGTTGACCGGCGTTGACCCTTAGGGTTTTGATTCGTCAAAGGTTGACTTTTGGTGCAACCCGTTGACTGGGGTTGACCTAGGGTTACGCGTTGACCGGCGTCCATCCTAGGGTTTTGATTTGTCAATGGTTGACTTTTGGAGTCCCTCAATATTCAACCATTGGTGAAGAATCAGAGTGTTTCGGGGTTTTAAAAAAAACAATTTAGGGGTTCAAAACAGGTTCAGGGGGTCAAAACAGGTTCAAGACACCCCGGGGGTGTCCCGACAAAACCGGGACACCCTGGGGTGTCTCGGTTTTGCCGAGACACCCCATGGGGGTGTCTTGCTTTTTTCATGGTCCCCCCCCCTTTTGTCTTTTTCTTCATTTTGTTTCCCCCCTCTTTGTTTTCTTTCTTGTTTGAATTTGTTTCCCCTTTTGTTTTCCCCCCTCTTTTCAAAAGAGAATTCATCTTCTTCCTCCAAACCTCCTCCATTGTTTTTCTTTCAAGAGCTCCATACCCCAAAGAAATTCGGTTTTTTGTATGCTCCTTCTTGGCCGAAAATTTTCACTTTTCACTAGGGTTTCTCCCTCCACCTTCAAGCTCGGATCTTGACTCTTGGATTGGGGATTTCAAGCCTCTTGATTTGGGTAAGCTCCTCTTCACCATCCTCTTATTTTGTGGTAAAGGTTGCATTTTTATTCTTGTGGTAGACTAGGGGGCATGTATGCACTATTATTTCGGGGGGTTTTGTGCAAAAAGAGGTAATGGCCGAAACTTTGGGGGGTTTATTTGCAAAATTCGTGGGGGTTTATTTGCAAAATGGGACTGAAATTTTGAGGCTTGGATTTCATTCCCCTTTGGTAACAATTTGGATGGGTGTTTCATGCAAAAAGACCATACCTTATTGAGGGTTTTATGTGCAAATGTGGGGCCGAAAAGTTTTGGGGGCTTATTTGCAAAAGTGGCCGAAGAATTGGGGTGGTGTTCATGTAATAGAGGACTGAAGTTTAGGACCTAAATTACATGTTCATTTGGCCACAAGCTTGAGGGGTATTTTAGGCAAGAGGACCAAAAGTTGTTGGAGGGGTTTATTTGCAAAACAGCCCATAAATGTCTTAGAGGGACTTATTTGCAAAAGGCAGTGAACTTATGGCTGAAATCCAATGAGTTTTGACCACGAACTCATGATCAAAATTTTGATAAGGCATGTGGAGCCCAAACCAAGATTTTGTAGAGGGGCTTTTATGCAAAATTGGCTGAATTCTGCAAAAGGGCTCATTTGCAAATTTTAACCAAAATTGTGGGGTACCGGGGTGTTATATGATCGAATGTGACGATCATGACCCGGGTCACGCGTGTCCTTGACCTAGATTTTGGCCTTGAACACAAAGGGTATTTTGGGTATTTCACCAAAATTCACCGTGAAAGATGACAATCATCGTGCACGAAATTTGTAGGTTTAATTAGACTTCAATTATGAAATCCTATTTGTGTATAGGATTTTAATTAAAGTTCTTAATTTCCCTTTTAAATTTCGTATATTCATGTTTTAGATTGTACCTGACTTGCTGCTTTTCGTTGCAGATTTGCAATGTCTCCGCGTCGATCTCGTCCCCGGAGGAGCCGTTCTCGTTCACAGCATAGTGAGGAGGAGGTCCCCACGACATCCTCTCCCGCGGCTTCATTTTTCGGGGGTGAGAATTTATGCAGAGATTTTGTCTTACATCCCTGATTGACCTCTTTGCGGGTCATGAAGGAAGAACCGATACCTCTCTCGCGGAGGGTAAGGTTTCAGACTTGTTTTGCTTAGCCAATTCAAGTCTTCGGATATATTGGGGCGATTTTGTGTTGTCCTACACCTTATAGGTCGGTGTACGTTACCACGTTATTCACGTGATGACGCATGCCGTCCTTCTGGTGTAGGTCACTCAAAATCGTCTCTCCAATTATTCCGTGGATGAGTCTATCATTCTTCTTACGAGATGGATTTTCTGATTCCGCCCTTGTGCTTTATTGCAGTGGAATTTCCCGCGGGTAGCCTTCCTCCTCACGCCAACACCGGATGTA